TAAATAAAATATATATACATAAGTACATATATACATATATAAGAAAAGCTAACAGCAAGATGGTCGCGCCGATGGCCACGCCCACAAACCACGCACCCGCAACCGCACCCCCGCATCGGCCGCACAGCTTGCAACATTTTATAAAGCAATTTCCCCCGGCAGCAGCATCGAAATGCAATGCACGCCTGAAGGACATAAGCGCGCTGTTGCATGTATGCGTGTGTGTGTATGTGTGTGAGAGAGAGTGCTGGCAACAGTAAAAAAAAAAGGAACTACTATATACAATATGTATACAATATAAGTGGGCGGTGGGCGGTGGCAAGCTGGGCGGCTGGTTGGGTTAGGTGTGGCAACAGCAGCCATAGAAACTTTTTCATTTTGCGGTTGACTCTGGAATTTGAAAATGTTGCGCAAGAAGTCGCCTCGAAGGCTCAAACCCCATACGCAATGCTTCTACTGGCTGCCTGGCTGCCTGGCTGCCTCCTGCCTGCATGCGTGTGCAGTTGGCAGCAGCAGTAGCAGCAGCAGCATCAAACTTTAACTGGAGCAAGGACAGCGAGTAAGGTGCAGCTGCTCGAGAACAGCTCTCCAAAGTTGACATTCCTGAGCAGCGCTGAGCTTTACTTCTCGACTGAAGACTCCTGCTTGACTGCTGACTCCTGCCAGCAGCTGCTTAAATTCCAGCCCAAGTTAAGCAGCTTACGCATGCAGCATCCAGCATGCACCTGCCCCATCTGCCCCTCTGCCCATCACCTCACCTGCCAGCCAGCCAGCCAGCCAGCCAAGTCGAGGACTCACTTTTCAAGCGCCAACTCGCTCGCTCGCTTGCTTTGCAATGCGCTAATTAGATTTTAATGAAGATGTCGTCTGCTATGCAAGCCCCGGCCCCACACGGCTCCTGTTGCCTCTATCTTAGCATTTTAGCCAGCCTCCTCCCCAGCTTGGCTGCATTTCAGGCAACATTGTTAAGCTTTAACGCGCATGTTTTCATGTGCATTGAAGCGCAGCTTTCTTAACACGTTCTTTTACTTACAGCTCCTTTTCCATTCTTTAGCTGTTTCTCTCCTCTTCTTCTTCTTCTTATTTTCCTTTTTTTTATATATATTACCTTGGCTTTTATACGAGTTTATAGTTTGATTTTGATGTTGATGTTGATGTTGTTTTTGCCACAAAACTTTTAATTGGCATCGCTTTTTAATTGGCTGCACTTTCAACTTGTAATTGCAATTTTCAGATTCAGCTCGGATTTCCTTCTGCTTTTTTAATGAATAATTAAAACTGGAAAAACCTGGCTGAACTTTTATAAAAGCGTATATCGACTCATGATGCTCATGAATTGGAGAATATAATTATACAAATTCAATAAGTGCTTTTGACTATGTATTTCAAATATTATAGCTTAACTGTACAGTTCGGGAGTGTAAAATATATCTAAAGATATATCTACATTAAAGATTGTAACTTAACCCAACTTAAACATATCAAACCCTAACATTAATATAAGTAGGTTTATTTTATAATTTTTCTACATTTCAATTTGACTA